GTGAGTGTGAGGAGAGCACAGTATGTCTGTGGGCTGAGGGATGTGCCTAGTGCAGTTGTGGGGATGCCTTCGTCAGGCCCTGGAGCAGGTGAGCAAGAAGTGCTGAGCACCCACATAGGTGGGCCCTCACCTCCAGTGCAGATGGAGGGGCCTTCAATGATGTCGGAAGAAGGGACACGAGCTAGGAAAGGAGAAGGATGGAGTGGCGCGTGGGGTCATCCGGCGTGGACTTCAGGGAAGGACATGTGAGCAATTGACTTAAGGTGTTCTGTTCCATGGGCAACGCTGGGTCTTCGACAGTTTCTTTTAGTATGTTGTTGTTGTATGCCATGGAGTCGATTCTGACTCATAGTGACCCTGCACAGGGTTTCTGAGGCTGTAAACTTTATGGGAGCAGAAAGTCTCATCTTTCTGCCGCAGAACAACTGGTAGTTTCGAACTGCTGACCTTGAGGATAGCAGCCCAATTTGTAACCACTACGCTTCCAGAGCTCCTTTTTAGTATAACTTGAATAAATCGGACAAGATTTTTTGTTATTTACTGTTTGGATTAATTTTAGGAAACGGGAGAAAAGTGATTTACCAGAAGATGCCAGTACAATTCTGAAGGCTGTCTATAAGCGTCTGGGTTACTACGATCAGCAGCGCTTACCTTCAATCAGAGACGAAAAGTAAGGACTGTTTTATGTTTGGCCAATTTCACATCTGTATAGTCATTGCACAAAATTTGGTAAGTAAAGGAACAGTTAATGAAATACAACCCAGCAGCCACAATTCCCCCCCCCCCCCCAAAGCCATCAAAAACTGTAGGCATCCCCCGCTTTTCAAAAGGTGACTTCACACAGCTTCACCTTTATGAAAGACCGTCATTAATACCTGTTTGCACTAACCGAAAGGAATCCGAAAAAGACTTCTGCTTTTATGGGAAAAAAGACATAAAGCAAAACTAGTGTTCAGCCGTTCAAGAGGCAGCGCCCATCCTGAGCAGCAAGAGTGGCGCCCCCAAGTGCCTTTCCTGGGAACTACACTCAACATCTCGCCTCTGTAGCTTTGAACGCTGTCTGGGACACACTGGTATTTTAGGTTTGCTGTGATTTGGTAGATTATTTTTTTAAACTTTTTATTGTGAATGGAGTGAAGGTTTACAGAACAGATCATCAGTCCGCATTCAACCAATTCTACACGTCGTGTCATTACGACGACTGTGGTCTTTTCCACGTACCATCATTCAGAGGGTTTACTGCTGTATGCACTTTATTTTTCCCTCTCCAAACCCCACGTAACTACTATACAATGTTTCATTTAGCCAGAAAATCTCTTCTTAACTTTTTGCAAGAGTGTCTCATGCAATGTTTGTCCTTTTATGATTGACTTATTTCACTCAGCATAATGTCCTCCAGCTTCGTCCATGTCGTGAGGCGTTTTGCAGATACTTCAACATTGTCTATCTGTACCAAAATTTGTTGAACATTCTTTTGATGGTGGCATTTAGGCTGTCTCCATCCTATTTGCTCTTGTGAACAGTGGACATGGGAGGGCATGTACCTACTCGCACCCTGGCTCCTTATTCCTGTGACTATATACCAAGGAGACGGGGTTGCAAAGCCGTCCAGTATTTCTATTCTCAACCTTCTGAGGAAGTGCCATACCATTTTCCACAGTGGTTTTACCATTTTACAGTCCCACCAGCAGTGTAGGAAGGTCTCAGTCTCTCCACACTCTCTCTAGATTTGGTGTTTTTTGTTTTTTGAAACTTTGCTATTAAATGCAGGAGTGTGAAGAGATCTAGTCATTCTGATTTGCATCTCTCTAATGGCTAGAGGTTGGCCCAGAATCGGATATTGTTTCGTTCTGCTGTGCATGGGGTCAGTATGAGTCGGTTCCGACTCGATGGCACCTGACAACAACAATGGCTAGAGAGCGTGAGCATTTCTTCATAGGCTTGTTGGTTGCCTGAATGTCTTCTTTGGTGACGTTTCTGTCGTGTCCTCTGTCCATTTTTTTTATTGGATTATTTGTTAAAGTCTTCTATAAATTTTGGAGAGTAATCCTTTGTGTGATATGTTGTTGCCAAACACTTTTTCCTGGTGTGTGGATTCTCTTTTTACTCTTTTGTTGAAATCTTTTGCTGCACCTGCGTGTCTAAGTTTTAGGTGGTCCCAGTCATCTATTTTGTCTTGAATTTGTGTTTTCAATTATGTTTGATAGTATATTTATGCCATGTATCAGAGTTTCTAAATTTGTCTCTGTTTTTTCATTAATGATCCGTGTAATTCTAGGTTCTATTTTTAGGTCTTCTGTTATTGTTGTTGTTAAGTGCCATCGAGTAGATTCCAACCCATAGTGACCCTGTATTAGGTTTCCAAGCAGCAGCTGGTGAGCTGGAACTGCCGACCTTGCCGTTCAAACTGACCAGCAGTCCAGCCCATTAACGCACAGCGCCACACCTCTTTTTCTGGGTTCTCGTTCTGTCCCATTGAACGGTGTGTCTTTCTTTGTACCAGTACCAGGCTGTTTTGACGACTGTAGCTGTGTAGTAGGTTTTCAGCTAGGGAAGTGAGAAACCTCCTTCTGTGTTCTTCTTGGTAAATCATGCTTTGCTTATCGAGAGTCTCTTTCCTTTCCATGAACATTGCTGCGTTGTTGGGTGCCAGTGAGTTGGTTCTGACTCGTCGTGGTCTCATGCACAGTGGATTGAAACACAGCCCGGTTCTGCATCAGCTTCACAATCATTGGTAAGTTTCAGTCCACTGCTGCTTCCACTGGCCAGTCTCTCATTGGGGCTTTCCTCTTTATTGCTGACCCTCCTTTTTACCTAGCATGATGTCCCTTTCCAGGGACTGGTCCCTTCTGATAATATTTCTGAAGTTTGAGAGACGAAGTCTCACTTCTAAGGAAAACTCTGGCTGTACTTCTTCCAACACAGACTCCTTTGTTCTTCTGACAGTCCATGGTAGTTTTTAATAGTCTCCTCCAACACTGTAACTCAGATACATCAATTCTTCTGTGTCTTCCTTAATTCATTGCCCAACTTTCACATGCATATGAAGCTACTGAAAATATCATGGCTTGAGTTAGAAACGCCTTAGTCTCATATTGACATCTTTGCCCTTAAACACTTTAAAGAGGTCTCGTGCAGCAGATTTGCCGAATGCAACTCGTCATTTCATTCTTGACCACTTCTTCCCTGAGTGTCAATAGTGGATCCAAGCAAAATGAAGTCTTTGACAACTTCCATCTTTTTTTCCATTTGTCATGGTATTATGTATTGGTCCAGTGGTGAGAATTCATGTTTTCTTTACACTGAGGTGCAACTTATACTGACAGCTGTGGTCTTTGATCTTCATCAGTAAGTATTTTAAGTCCTCTTAGCTTTCTGCAAGCAAGGTTGTATCATCTGCATATTGCAGGTTGTTCATCAGTTTTCCTTCAATCCTGATGCCATGCTCTTCTTCATATAAGCCAGCTTCTCAGACTGTTTGTTCAACATACAGCTACAATAACTATGGTAAAAGACCACGATCCTGGTGCACAGCTTTCCTAATTTTAGACTATTCAGTGTTCCCTTGTTCTGTTTGAACAACTGTCTCTTGGTCTTTGTACAGGTTTTTCATGAGCACAATTAAATGTTCTGGAATATTCATTCTCCACAATGTTGTCCATAACTTTTCATGATTCACACAGTCAAAAGCCTTTGCATAGTCAATAAAGCACAAGGAAACATCTTTCTCATAGTCTCTGCTTTCAGCCAAGATCCCTCTGATGTCAGCAATGATATCCCATGTTCCATGTCTTCATCTGAATCCAGTTTAAACTTCTGGAAGTTCCCTGGCAATGTACTTTTTTTTTTTTTTTTAAATTGAGTGATAGTTTATATGGGAGAACATCAGTTTTATACTCATCATTTCATTGCAGTGATTACAATCCCTTCTGTGCATCATCATTCAACAGTATTTTCTTCTATTCCCTCTGTTTTTTTAGGGGTGGGTGGGAGGATGTTCACAAAAACACTCAGGAATATATAATCACTTAAACAACGAAAGGGCACATTCTGCAAGCCTGCCTCCTGGCCACCAGCACACAGACTTTCTCTTTCCATGAGTCTAGAGTCCTCAGCTGCTCTCTCTCTCCATGTCTGCATCTCTGCTTCCATGTCTGGTGTCTCTGCTTCTCTGGATAAGGTCCCATATTCCACTCATACTCTTCCCCCTTGATGATCCTAGGGTCCTCTGTTCCTGGACTGTAAGATTAACTACTCTCCCACCCTTTATTGTATAAAACATCTACCTTTACTGTTGTGACAGTCACAATTAGTCATGATAACAATTACTCATCATTGAATCATAAGAATCTTATCCCTCATTTCCTTTCATCCGACCTGTCTAGACAAGATGACTATTGATTTCTCTGAAATCAAACTCCCTTCTGAAAACTTGTAAGCCAGTTACTTCATGCCTTTATAGTACACCCTCCCATATTAGGTTGTTGTTGTTGTTAGAAACAACATTTTAGGTAGCCGATCTCTAAGTTGCCC